TACTCCTGTTCTTCTTTTTGCGGATACAGACTAACACGGCTGCTACTCTGAAACCTGTCAATATGCAAGAGTGGGTCTCTTTGGTGAATGAGATTTTCTTCAGCTACAAGCAGGTTCAAATAGGTGTTTAATGCACAAAAAGGGGGTTATCCTCTCCTTTGCCAACTCTCAGTTTTTCTCACAACAACATCTGATGTCCTCCTTAAAGCCTCTGCTCCTAGAAACACGTGATTACACGAGAACTCACTGTACCCCTTTTCTTTGGCAGGGAGAAAGCTTAATGATAGACCCTTGACAAACATAGGTACCAGTGTGACACAGAGGCCCACTGGTGGTTTACTACTTTGTGCCAGCAAATAACACCAGAAATAACACACTCTTGTCATGATATATACCGACAGGTGGCATGCAATATATCATTGGAAAACATAACTCCCCGATCTTTAATATTCTTGTGTAATATATGAATAGGGTATGTATAAAGAGTTATGGATATGTGCTAGAATCATGTTCTTAAAATGTCTTGGTCAAGCAATGCATAAGCCCAGTCTGCCCTAAAGAAAGAATGTGTACTTGTACTCAACCTAGTAAGTGGGGGAGATATAATTTGAGGTTCAGACCCCTGCAAGAGGCTAAGTAATTGAATCAACTATATGCAGTATCAAGTAAGGTCTTTTATGAAAAGTAATGTCACACTGGTGACTAATATAATTGTAAAATGTATGTATTAACACTACATGAGGAATTATGAATAATCACTGATGGGCTTTAAAGTCTGTGACCAAACAAGAAGAAAAAGGTTTTAGCGTAGACAGGAGGGAAGACAGCTATTTACCTGTCTCCAATGAAATTAAATAAGGAGTGACCAAAACAATGGAAACCTCACTAACACATGAATAATCAGAGGGATGGACAGTCCACAGGAAGGGAAGACTAGCATGAGGTTATCTTGAGTCTGGGGACAAAACAGTAAGTTTGGGAAGATATAAGGAGAGAGAAGCTTCCATTTTGGCATCTAACACTGGGTGGACACAAAGAAAACTTCATTTTCCTGCCAAAATGCCAGCTCTACCCTTATGTTTTGTGAGGCAATCATCGTTGTTACTAATTATGGTAGTGCAGGCTATGTGCATAGCACTTCCCAAACACTGAAGGACAGTCCCAGCTTTAGGGGCTCACAGACACATACACAGAGGCTAAGGGAAAGGAAAGAAGAGAATGACAATTTGCAAAATGATTGACAATTTGCATTCGGGGCAACTCAATTCCCTGTAAGCAGCGCAGCAGAAGTAGGTCTTTAAATGTAGACTGACCAAGAGCTTTGCAGATAAGTTGAAGGAGGTTGTGTCTAGAGCTGGGTGAAGTTTTTCGGATGAATAATTTATTCAATGAAAAATACAGCTTCGGTCAACCTGACATTAGTTAGAACAGTTTCGGCCATGCAGAAAATGGAGGAGGAAGATGATGTTGTGGTGCCCCCACCACCCCACCCAGTCACCTTTAGCCACGTTAAATGGCTAGGGCACGGACTCCTGGTGTGGGATACCCACCTTTGAATCCCTGCTCTGGAACAGGCCCAACACGGAATTTTTAAATTCATGTGCACACACAAAACAGAACTGGTTTGACTTTAGCCAAATATTTTTTCCTGATGGTTTGGAACTGCCACTGAACAAAAATGAGCTATTCACCCAGCTCTAATCCTGCCATGCATAGTGGCTCAACACAGGAAGGTCCAGAGGTGATTGTGTGAGAAACAGACAATCAGGCAGACAAGGCTGGGAGCTCTGGCAGAACAGAAGGGCTCAGGGTGGGATGGGGGAGTAAAGTAAAGATCGACAAGGGAGAATCTGTAGGAAGATGCAGAGTTACATAGAGCATTGATAATGGTGACAAGAAGCTTAAAATTTTATGCCATGGTGGATGGGGAGTTGATGCCATACCAAATGGAGGGATGTAGAGAGGAGTTACATGATCAGATCAACAGGCAAGGAAACGGGCTTTAGCAGCTGCATTTTGTAGGGACGGAAAGACAGTGATGCGATAATCAAATTCCTGAGTGGACAAATTGCAAGGCCAAACTTTAGCACAGAAGGACTTTGATTATTGTCAAAGAAAACAAGAATGGCAATGACAATATTGCTATTATAATACACATTAGGGTTTGTCTACACTTGACCCTGCTGCAGCTGCACTGGTCCAGCCGTAGCACTTAGCGGAGACGCTACCTACGCCAACGGGAGACCTTCTTCCATCGGCGTAGGTATTCTGCCTCTCTGAGAGGCAGTAACTATGTCAACGGGAGAAGCCCTCCTGTCCACATAGCGCTGTCTACACCGGGAGTTCGGTTGGTATAACTGTCACTCAAGAGTTATACCAACGTAAGTTTGTAGTACAGACCGGGGCTTAGTAAGTATTGTCTGTTCTGAACTGTAAAGGCTCAAATCTAGACCAGGCCTGTTCTAACCAACAAGCCCATGAGGTCTGGGCTCAGGGTACATCGATAAATGAAAAATGGTAGATAAGAATCCTAAGAAAATGCAAACCAATCTCAGACAGACATAAGCAGAGTAGCATCGGCCCACCGCTGCCTGTATGTGGTCTCTGCTTTGTGAGATTTGAAACCCTCCTCCCCCCTGCTCTCATACAAGTAGGGTCCTGGAGTTAGAGCTATGGGACATCGGTGCGTTGCTATGGTCACCTTCTATACCCAAACGAGCATTAGAAATGTGCACCATTATCCAGCCACTGCCTGCCAGTTTAGTCAGTGCTATATTAGCAAGTGTCACAATCGGTGCTGTATTATAAAGGATTTTGCTCTCATCGGATGGTCAGATAAGATTCAATATTTGCGTTTAACCCTTAAATCTGATCTAAAGTCCAATGAAATCCATGGGAGTCTTCCATTCACTTCAATGTACATTGGGTCAGGACCTAAGGCAGTTTTGAGGTGAGCAGGGATCACGCGATAGTTAAACAATACGCTTTTGGGAGGGTACCATTACACCATCATGATGCCCTGATGGGCTGTGTTTGACCCATTCAGAAGGCTAAGAGTTAGCAGTCACCTCTGACCTTATTGTGCAGGCCAGATACTGTCCATATGGGCTTAGTATGTGCTTGGCTGCTAAGGTCAAAGAGAGAGAAGAAAATTACACCTCACAATACACCTCTACCCCGATAGAACGCTGTCCTCAGGAGCCAAAAAAATCTTACCGCGTTATAGGTGAAACCGCGTTATATCAAACTTGCTTTGATCCGCCGGAGCACGCAGCCCCGCCCCCCAAAGCGCTGCTTTACCGCGGTATATCAGAATTCGTGTTATATCGGGTCGCGTTATATCGGGGGTAGAGGTGTATAGTTTCACTTTTCTTTCTGGAAGAGTGTGCGTGTGTGTGGGGAGGGGACGGGGGAAGGGGAGGGAGCTTACTTGCTGTCAGGTACCAAAATTTAAACACGTCTTTATGTAACTTTTCGGCATTCTTCTTGGCAAGGCCAGCAGAGGCCTGAAAGATAGCAGGTGATGCCAGAGATACCCAACTCATATAATCAATTTCTCCTCCTAATAACCTGCAAGGCCCCTTATATTGACTAACTGTTCAGGCCAAAGCAGCAACAATAGGAAAGACTACACAGCATGTCAAATACAAGCAGCCTCGTTTCACTGGCTATACAGCAAGCTCCTGCCTTTTGACAGCCACGTTTGCCTAAAGACATATTGATACGTCCCTAAAACCTGATATTTCAAAGTATTCAACCCTCTTTATGAGCTGCTCTGTATCTGCTTGCTGATTTCAGTGATCTCTAGATCAGGTTCTAAATGCATTAAAGCAGGGAAAGGCTTAGCTAAAGCTTCCACAATACCTTACTTTCGGCATCACTTCGTCTGTGAATTTCAGTACATTAGGCATGATTCACCTGCTGGCTGCCTGATGGAAAATAATAGACTGTGTTCTGCAGTGCTAAACACAATGGTATTTCAGGAGCGGGTGGTCATTTAAGACAAGGACTCTTATTTTCACTAACTCCGGCCTTCACCTACCAAGAAACAAGGAGTTCTGTGAGTTCTGGAGAGTAAATAACACAAAGCTGCCCTGTTGGACTGAGTCACAAACTTTCTGAGCTTAAAATGCAAGCAGAAACTGGGACTGTAAAGAAATAAAATCCAAAGTCCAACCTATTCAGACTCCTCAGAGGGGAGGGAGGGGACGTAAGATAAACTGCAACACAAGGACAGAGATTTAATTCTCCTTAGTAGAATTCCGTCCCTTCCTCATTCTGCAAAGAAAACTAAGCCCTCCCAGGGTGCAAAAGTAACCAGCAGTTTCCAACAGGTGGCAGACTTGATTTTGACAGGACAGTCTGTAGGACCCTACAGCCAAATCCAGAGTCTGCCAGTGCAATCAGTAGTGATGAATAACTGAGTAGGCCAGGCAGTTACTGAATTACATAATTCAGTAATCAATGCCCTAGCCCAGGAGTGGCCAACCTGAGCCTCAGAAGGAGCAAGAATTT